GAAGATAATTTGACATGCAGTCTTATACCGAGAGACAAGTCGTTCCTTAACCACCTCCCGAGCATCATTCCCATTTGCATTGCACAGATTGCTTCATTCCCTGTGGATATTCAGTTCCTCACACCATGGGGATGCTGCCGACCTCAAAACAATCTTGAGTCAATTGAAAAGTTTCCCTAAACCTTTGGAAAAATAATTACATTCTGCTCTTTAAATTCCCCTTAAAAATCCTCTCCCTGAGTGTAGCAGTTATTGCATTTTATTCCAGAGGTAGTTGTGTTTCAGTTGAGGTCAAAATGGTCCTGTACAGAAAGGATCTTGCTGTGAGTCACTGCCATTTATAAATTAATTGGTTAAATAAGTAAGATTACATCAAGTCCTTGCTGCAGTGTAAGGTAATTTACACCTATTAAAAAGCAGGAATTGTCCAAGTTTTTCCAATTTATTGCACAGAAAGGAGGACACTTTAACCTTCTGCCTTCTATTGGGGGAGATTTCAGAATATTGTCTGTAAGCAGCAGAACAACCCTGGAACTGCAGTGGAACTGGAGCTATAGATTTCCTAGGAATTACCAGCATCTCACCCTTGGTCACCCAGAGAATGAGCTGGCACAGTGCTTGATTTCCATGGTCAGAAATTTTAAAATAAGTAAGTTATCTCACTGACCCAGCTGGAGGAGGAGAGAGATCAGCTGCAGGCTCTCCCCACGTTGAACAGGGGAACAGCTGGCTCCAGGATTCATCTCAGCATTCCCATGGAAGTCCCGAGCAGGCTGAAGAGCTGCAAAACAGGGGCCTGAGGGAAAACAAGGGCCACTTTTCTGAGTGGCGTATCCCTGTATCCCCGTCCCCTTCTCTCAAACCCCACAGGCCAAAGTGAAGGCCAGAGTGGTTCCACCCAGTACAGAATCAGAGAATCATGGAATCGTTAAGGTTGGAAAAGACATTTAAGATCATCCAGTCCAACCGTCAACCAGCACCATGTTCACCACTAAACCATGTCCTCAACTGCCACATCCACAGGTTTTTTGAACACCTCCAGGGATGGTGACTCCACACTGCCCTGGGCAGCTGTGCCAAAGCTTTACAACTCTTTCTGTGAAAAATTTTTTTCTAATGCTAGACCTTCCCTGGTACAACTTGAGGCTGTTTCCCCTCATCCCATGCAAGAGGGCTGGCTGGTGGGCCCCTGCTCCCAAGGAGCACCCAAGGAACACGTGACACCTCTACAAACAGCAGCGTTTTTCTGAGCAAAGTTTTGGAAGGGTTTAAGATTTTGATATTTGAGAAGTTAAGGGACAGTTTCCCTGTGCAGACTTCAGCACAGAATTGTTTGGGATTTAGCAGCAAAAGGTCCTTTGGCTCAAGGTCAGTAAAAATGAAAATCCCATTTCTAACCATTCCCTTTCTCCAACCTCACAGTTACTATGACACTGGCAGTCCCAGATGAACCAATGCGTTTTATCCCTGTCCAATACTGATTCCAGTCAGTGCCCCAAACAAGAGCTGTGCAGTGTCACCCTGTTCTGCTCCATAGGAGAAGGAGTTTCATAGCAGGAAGGCCAAATAAGCACACAGACTTCTGGCATATTTGAGACAACACTTTAAACTGATTTGGCACTGATCAACCCAGCTGAGTCTAGAAGGGCCCAGTTACAAGATCCCCCTGAAACACTGGTGAGAACAGGGCACACCGAGAGTGGGGCAGCAGAACACCAGACCCTCCCACTCCCAGTCCTCTGGTAACTGGAGAATTTCAGCTCCCCAGAACACAAGTGTCTGGTGCTATTTGAGACATCCTGGGGCTCCAGGTGCCACCTGAGACCAGAGTGCACCTCAGCAGGGCCCATGTCATGTTGCCAACCTCACACAAGTATCTCAGACACAATCTGACACCTAAACACCGGCAGAGGTGACATCTCTCATCAGTCACTTCCCTACTGTGCTCCTCACCAATATCACAGTTCTGTGTGTGTTCACTTTTTGAAAGCTTGGCAGATCCTGAGCCTCCTGTCTGCACAAATGATTGGCATGGGAGGTGTCCCCACACTCCACCATCAACAGAAAGCCTTTCACCTCACACACCAAAGCACATCCAGAAGTTAGAATCAGAGAATCATGGAATCTCCCGAGCTGGAAAAGACCCACAAGGATCATCGTGTCCAATCCCTGGCCCTGCACAGACACCCCAACAATCCCATCGCTTTGCCGGTGCCAAAAATGCCTTCTGTGCTTTTTAGTCTCAAAGTGATTTTGTCCTGCAGAATTTCCAGGGGAACATCAGCATTCCACAGCCCCTCCTGCCACTGGCCACATGCTCTCTGCAGTCACTGGAGGGACAATCCTGAACACCTCTGAGCAGAGTCTCAGACTGGCTGTTCTGTGCTTGCTTTGCCCAATTTTACCCTCTTTTTGCAGCTGATGAAGCCATGAACAACATGAAGTATGTGAAAATGGAAGTAGAAGGGCACACAGAAAGCAGACAGGAGCCTCATGCCCTGCCCCTTTTTTGCTGCCTATCTACCACCACTGTCCTACACACCTTCCCCTCTGCTTGTGAAGACAGGCACTCCCGTGTGTTTCCAGCAGCCCAGAATCAGTCAGGCAAGGGAATGAAGAGCTGGCACTGGGCACAGAGAGTCTCTTCCCTCCCTCTGCCCTCCAGGCACCTCCACTTGGAGAAGATGCTACAAGTGGTAGCTCTCCTGGCTCACCAGGTTTGCAGCAGGCAGTGGGGATGAGGGCAGCTTCCCTATGGTATGAAGAGGTTTTGATCCCTCTCCTTCCCCTTCTGCCTCCTCTGTCATCCCTGCCTGGACATCAGCTCAGGTACTGGGCACTGGCAGGCAGAGGGGGCAAAACCAGTTTGCTACAGGGCTGGAAACAAGTTCTGTTGGTCCCACACTTAACTCCTGAGTTTCTGCCTTTTGTAGGAGCAGTCAGGATCACACCTTGGATTCATCCCACAGGAAAAATGTGTACTTGCAACGCTCAGGGTGAACAAAAAGAAATCCCAGCCCTGAAATGTCTCTGGCCTGCCATGGTGAGTGTGCCATGGCCAGCAGAGACAGACATGCTTTCATCAGGGCTCCTGAGATCTGTGTAATTCACCTGATATTTCTATAATTCCTGATATTATATAACCACAAGGGTTCCTGATAGGTCCTTTGTTACGGCTGCAACACAGAATTAAACGAAAATGAGCTTTAATCCCATCAATACCTCTTTGAATTTCAAATTAAAAAACGTATCCAAAAATTATCCATTAATTTTGAGAGTTTGTCATTGTGGAGTCTTTTGGGTGTTCTGGTTCCCATTCCCCCAGGTGACCAGAGGTCACACTGAGTCCCATCCTCTGCTTCCTGTCTTTAATAGTGCCTGGACAGGCAGAGCTTGAGAGATCCAAACTGTCTCTGAGCCTCAACTAAACACAGGGATGGGACACACAACACAAACAATGGCTTTCCTCAGCTCCACAAGGAACTCAGCAAATTTTTTTGATCAAAACATGTCAAGTCACGGGTTAAGCTGTTGCCCAGAGAAGCTGTGGCTGGCCCATCCCTGGAAGTGTCCAAGGCCAGGTTGGATGGGGCTTGGAGCAACCTGGGCTAGTGGAAGGTGTCCCTGCCCATGGCAGGGATGAGCTTTTAAGGTACCTCCCAACCCAGACCAGTCTGTGATCCTGATTCTATGAAACTCTGAGTGAATGTTGAGTCATTCCCCCCTGTAAAGCCCAATCTTTCAAAACCTATAAAGTCCCAGACAACCTTAGTTCTTGCACTGAAAAGCAAAACTTGCTCTGAGATCTCTCCTTTGTTCCCTCCTTTCCCTGTCAGCAGCAGCAGCAGCCTGCCCAGGTGATGGTTTCAGTTCCCTCCAGATGCACAGGCACAGATTCCAATCACTTTCAAGTGATGCCAAAGCAGATCTCTGATAACTCGGAGTCAGGCTGATAACAGGCAAGTTCCAGCACTGCTCAGCTCATAATTACATAGCTGTGAAAAACAGATCAGTTGGCAACACACAGGAAATACAAAGATTGGAATCCTTTGGGAAAGCGAAGACAACCCTTTGCCACAGTCCATCACGCTCTGTGCTCTCTAGGGAGGCGGCTTTACCAGGCACCACACATGCACTTACTTCCCAGGGAGTATCCTGAGCCTCCTGCCTGCACAAGTGATTGGCATGGGAGGTGTCCCCACACTCCATCATCAACAGAAAGTCTTTCACCTCACACACCAAAGCACATCCAGAAGTTAGAATCAGAGAATCATGGAATCTCCTGAGCTGAAGGAGACCCACAAGGGTCATTGTGTCCAACGCCTGGCCCTCCACAGACACCCCAACAATCCCATCGCTTTGCTGGTGTGTCCAAACAGTGCCAGAGACCTCAAATCCCTGAGATCATCAGTCACCAGGCTGGCTGTTACCACTGGGAGCCCGTGCTGACCCTTCAAGTGGATTTTCAGAAATCCCCAATGGCTGCAGAACTCAACTGAGAGGAGTTACAGAACATGAGCAAACACCATGAGGCTGCAATTCCACTGGGATACCATGGACACATAAATAACCACTGATGGTTCACTAATGGAAAGTAAAAGAATGTACTCGATACATTCAGATCATAGAATTGCAGAACCATTGAGTGTCCCGAGTTGGAAGGGACCCACAAGGGTCTTCGAGTCCAACTCCTGGCCCTGCACTGGTCACCCCAACAATCCCCCCATGTGCCTGAGTGTTGTCCAAACATTCTAGTTTGGCTCCAGCCAAAACTCCAGCCAAATGAGAGCATTTACAAAGACATAACAGGAATTAAAATATAAATGTTCTCCTTTGCCCTTCCCTGCATGTACAGTTTTGCTGTATGCTTTCAAAGTGATGAGAAAGGGCAGAACTGTAATAGCAGGAGTACAGTATCCACAACTGGATACTCTGAACAGTTAAAAACAATCTCCAAGCAAATAACCCTGAGAAAACGGGAGAGGGAAATCCATACTCACCTGAACGTGATCTGCCCAGTTCTCCTCAGTCATGGTTTTCTGAAAAGACAAAATTACTCCTGAGACATCTCAGAAAAGGGAGGATGTTCCACACAGCAAACTAGAAAGGAACACCACATGGTACCCACTGGCATCACCTGTGGTCGAGGAACGCACTCTGGAGCACACGGGACAGCTCAGCTGTCAGGGCACAGCAGAACAACACAGCTTGGACAAAGTAACTCAAAAGAACTGTTACATGACAGCATGTAAGATATAAAAATTCATGTGCAATGTGTCCTCAGACTGTTCAGCTCTCCAGCCAGCCCATGGAGAGCCATCCCATGGGCTCCAGGAAAAGGAGACATCTCAGGGATCCTCTGCAAGGCTGAGCATTCGGAATATTAAAATACAAACTTTTCTCAACAGCCAAGTCATCAAAAATCCTCTGGAATCATGAGGTCTGGGAAAGGAAACTGATAAGTTAATATTCGCATTCTAATGTAGTTCAGAGCCAAACTTGGGATTGGATCTACTCTCCACTCTGCCAAGAGCAGAGGCTGCATGAGACTGACCATGAGCCTCAGCCTTGGTGCTGGCAGAGGAACAGGGATTGCTAGTGCCACTTTTATGGAAAGGTACAAGAGCAAACATGGAGTAAGAGCCTCAAAGAAAAAGCTCTGAGATACACACGTATGTAATTTAAATACTAGTGAGATGAAGGGGCCATTTAGCCAGAGCTCAGACACAGCTGAGAATGGTAAACAGAGAGCACCAAAGAGCTCTGAAAAGAAGGGACTGTGTCCAGAAGCAGCTGCCAAATGTACCTTAATGGAAGTAACTGGCCAGCTTGAATATTTTAAATCAAGCAAATGCTCCAAAACAAAGGAAATGGAAGACCAAAGAGAGCAGAACCCCAGATCATGAATCCATTCCACTCTGCTAAATAAACACACCTGGATAAATGCTCTCTGCTCACTCGCAGTGGATGACCAAGCTTGTTCCAGTGATGTCATCTGCACTAAAGATCTGAGATGCAGGAGGCTGGAATGCCCACTCCTCCCCAGCTCTCCTGGCAGTGAGGCTGGCAGGCAGCAAAGACAGCTCAGAGCCTTCACTGACGGCTCGGGAGGTCTTGGGAGCAGAACCTGCTGTGCCAGAACGGTGCCATCAGATCAGCACCATTCAACCCCATCCTCATGTTCAAAGTACTGGGGCTGGGGGGTCAGAAGATATGCCTGGATCTGCTTGTTGCTGTCAGAGAAAAAAGGAATCCTCTTCTGAACACAGAACAGGCACTTCAGGGGAGGTGGCTCATTCCCTGAATGCTGGCTCTCTGGAGACTGGATCAATAGTCCTGTAGGAACATCTGAGAAACCTGCTGGGCTCAGACTCTGCTAAAAACCTCCTGTATCTACAAGAAGAAAATCTTTTATGAACTGCAGACGAAAACCTGCTCCAAGCTTGGCAAATACAGCTTGAGAATTCAAAATTCAAGAAATGGAAACATTTCACTGTGATATTCAGTCTCTTGTGGTCCTTGTCCTTCACAGTTCAATGGATACACCTGGATACAAGTGTGAGCTGTTTTTTACAGAAGAGGCAGAAAAAAATAAATCTGACTCTCAACTGGTATGATCTGTCCCCAGGCACAGGGTCGTGCTGAAAGCCAGACCATCAAGAGAAGCACCAAACCCACCCTGTTAAGGAGATAAATGTGTTCCCAGTACAGGAGCTCAGGAGCATCCAAAGGGCAGTGACTTGGCTCAGTGCACTCATGAGTGGGGAGGAGAAACCACACTCAAGTCATTCTGCAGACAGTCAACCTCCAAGCTGCCTCCTAGAAAACTGCTTCTCAGAAAGAATTAGTGGCATTTTCTTATTCCTCCAACCCCTCAGTGCCAGCACAAGTACCAGTGGATTTGGAAAGAGAATTTGGAGGCTGGACAGAAGTAAAGTTTGTTCAAAGAGTGGTTCAGGAGCTGAAAATAGGACCATTTTGTTCCACAGTAACAAGGTTGGCAGCACAAAAACGCTCCTGTGGCAGGTTTGGGCCATACCTATCCCAGCCAGGCCACAAGCACCAAAGCAAATTGCCTACAGAGCACCCAGACATGAGGAATGTCTAGAACCTAGTGTTCTTAAAACCCCACACAAATGCCCCAAAAACTCTTTATCCAGTATGTTCCTGCTTATTTGAGATGGCTGAAGGAAGCTGAACGCTGGAGAGCTGATCCTGACCCAGAGCACTGAGGGAGCTGAGGGGAAGAAGCTCCAGCCCTGAGCAGTCAGGACACCCAGGCATTGGAACACGAATGGACACACAAACTATTCACTCACAGAACAAACTGATCCAATGGCAGATCCAAGGCATCTTTATATCATACTACTCACACCAAAAACTTGCTCATACACTATTGATACATTTCAATTATCTCAATTGTGTTATTCAAAATGCAAATGGAATGAAAATCCTCATTCACCCCCCCCACACAACACAGCACATACCTCAACAAATCTCTTGTAAAAGAGGTAGTTCAGGGTTCTCAAGTGCCGCTGATTTACGACATTAGGGCAGAGGGCTGAAAGAAGGAAAAAGACATTTAAGTACCCAACATCGCCAAATTTCCTGGAAGTTTTACTATCTAGACATGACACTTTTCCTTCCCCAGTGTCAGACTGGGGTTGGGGAAGGCAGGATGCCCTCACACTTGGAACAGTGAGGGACAGAGTAGAACATTGTCAGCTTATCTCAACTATAAACTGTTATTTACACTTTCAACTGTGATTAGCAATGCTAATCCTCCAGTCTGATATCTCTGGTTCCACCACCCCTGAGTGATAAGATCCACCCTGTGGTTCAATATGCTCCACAGTCAATGACTTCACACCTTTAATTAGGCAGCATCCCCACATGGGCACCACCTCAGTCTCTAGAGGCTGCATTCTTCTGGGTTTAATTGGAACCTGTGTTGTTAAGTCATTGAAGCAGTTGTGAACAACTTACTCAGGATGTAAACTTGTGGCTAAAGTTTATCCGATAAAACACAGATCCATGGAAGAGACTCCACGTCCACACAAAGAGGGTGGGGACTATTGTTTTGCTGAGCTAGCAAGCCACACTTGTTGATAATATTTTTATTGCTGTCATCTTCATTAGATATGGCTCATTACAACTGCAAAACTTGAGATCTTCACACAGTGCCTTGTTTTGAAACCCAGTGCAAGGAGAGATAAAGGCAGGAGATAAAATACATGAAGTGGATTAGCACAGGTATCTGTCAGTTCCTGCTGGATGTTGGGATGCATGAACAGGGAAAGGCTTAACCAAAGCCTTCTGTGGGGCTTCAGTGGCTAAAACCATCCCACCGGGAGTCAGAAAGAGCAGGACCAGCAATCAGAAATGGTCACAGAGAGCAGGAAAGTGAAAATTTTCTGCAGCTTCCTTTGAACAAGAGTCCACAGGGAGAAAGCAATTCCTTATCTCTCTCAGTGCCTCACACAGGGCATGCCCAAGGATTATAAACCAGGAGAACAATGAAAGATCTCTGGATACCAGATCCTGGGATCAGAGGGGGATGGGTTGACGTCCCACTAGATACAGCAGCTTCTCAGAGTCCTCTGAAGCATCACTTCAGAACGTAAACATTTCCATCTCAAACACAAAAGGTTAAGGCTGTTATTTTTCTCTTCCACAGTGTGACAACAGATCCTTACCCTCCAAGGATCTGAGTAAATTATTGCAATTATCACACAGGATATTGTCCCAATAAATATGGTGATCTTTCCTCTGGATATTATCCCAATATCTGGAGGAAAAATCACCAGCTCATGGAAAGCAACACTCGCTAAAAAGAACATAAGATCAAGGTAAAAATTAATAACATTCCCATCTAACTCAGAGATTTCAAAGCACTTCAGAAAGAACCATGGCATGACTGCTCCAGGCCACCCAAAAGATCCACTGAACATTTTTTCTTTGAGCGTCTAGAGGAAATATCCAAAGCAGAAGCTCTGGCAGAACTGAGAGTTTCAATGGCCAGCTACCTGTGTGGAAAGGACAGAGGAACACAGATGCACTGGAAAAATGCTGGAAGGCACTAGTGACATATTTTATTCTGATGGAACAAGTGAATTGAGTTTGAATCTGGTTTTTTATACTTTATTACAAAAAACAGAGAAGGACTAATCAAGAATACAAGTACAGGCTGGATAGAGAAGGGATCGAGAAAAACCCTGGGGAGAAGGATTTGGGTGTGTGGGTGGATGAGAAGCTCAACCTGCCTGACCATTTGTGTTGGCAGCCCAGAAACCCCCCCGTGCCCTGGGCTGATCCCACAGCGTGGGCAGCAGGGGAGGGGGGGGATTCTGCTCCTCTGCCCCACTCAGGTGAAACCCCCCTGCAGAGCTGCCTCCAGCCCTGGGGCACCAACACAAGAAGGATGTGGAGCTGCTCTGGAGTCCAGAGGAGGCCACAGAGATGCTCCAAGGGCTGGAGCCCCTCTGCTCTGGAGCCAGGCTGGGAGAGCTGGGGGGGTTCACCTGGAGAAGAGAAGGCTCCAGGGAGAGCTGAGAGCTCCTTCCAGGGCCTAAAGGGGCTCCAGGAGAGCTGGAGAGGGACTTGGGACAGGACAAGGGGAAATGGCTTCCCACTGCCAGAGGGCAGGGATAGATGGGATATTGGGAAGGAACTGTTGGCTGTGAGGATGGTGAGTCCCTGGCCCAGGTTGCCCAGAGAAGCTGTGGCTGCCCCATCCCTGGAAGTGTTCAAGGCCAGGAGCAACCTGGTCTAGTGGAAGGTGTCCCTGCCCATGGCACGAGGTGGAACTGGATGGTCTTTAAGGTCCCTTACAACCCAAACCAGTCTGAGATTCTACGGAAAATATGAGGGAGAATGGTAACTTGGTAAGAGAGACAATGAAATGAAGAGATCAAAGCTCTTAAGGAAAGGAAGAACAACAAAATAAAACCAACAAAATGGACTTCAATAAACTCAGAAAACTGGATTTCATGTGGAAATCATTTATGAGGGAAAAAGAAGAACGGACAAAGGAAAAATTGGAGGTGAAGAGACTTGACTGCTAAAGCAAAAGCTTTTATGGATCTCAGTCACAAGAAGGAGGTTAAAAGAACATGAAAAATGAATCACACATACAAGTCAACAGCAGAAACACATAAAATCATGAAGCCCAAAGTAAAACATGTTTCTATCAAAAGCTATAAAGGCAAGAGAAATTCCATACAGCCTTTTGGAGGAAAAAAACAACCACAACCCAGCAAAATCTAATGCAAGGGAAGAATTGGCAGAAGCTGTGTGGAGATGGCAAACCTCCCACCTTGGAGGTCTGTAACAGGTTGCACATTCCCAAGTAGATCAGAAGTATCAGAAGGAGCTCCTTTGGCCAAGGGGCACAGATGGCACAGGTGGCACTGCAGAGCCTTTGCCAGACCTTTGCCTGCACCTTCATGATCATCTGCACCTTGTACGTGCAGAAATCAAAGCACTTCAGGGCACAGCACCTTCCTCAAGGTCAAACACCCAGCTGGGGGACCAGGAGTCCGAACCCAGGTCTCCTGCACCTCAACCAATGTCCTGTTGGTCAGAGCAAAAGACCTTATCCTAAGCTTCCCAGAACAGGGACCATCCTCTTACTCAGTGTCTGTCCAATGGGATCATGAGTGGCTTGTGGAGCACTAGTGGAATATAAATGGTTTAATACCATGAAAGCAGCTCTTTGGACACGTTAACTCTTAACCTGGCAGTTGCACCACAACCATTCATCTGAGCTACATTTCACACCTGGGCCTGATTCAGAGGCCAAAGCCTCAGCCTGCTCCCAGCCCTTGGCCGAGTTAATGGTCATTTTTACTCCAGAAGGAGTAAAAATGAAATCTGTTTGTCACACAGGGTCAAACCCACAGTCCACACTGATTTCAATCATGCAAGATGGGTAAGATGTGTCTCCTGTGGCCATGGTGCAATATATTTTTAGGTGTGGTGGGTGGGTACCACTCCCAGGAGATGCCAATGCCTCCCGAGCTGGGACGTGGACCCAATCAATCCTCTCTGTCCATAGCCCTGAGAGCTTCCATTCACAAAGAGACTCCTTCTCCCTGTCCTGGCAGAACAGCAGGTCCCACACACACTGTGCTTGGTTTGGGGGCAAACTACAAGAGCCTTTTGGATAAAATCAGGGTATCTGACACTCCAGAGGCTTTCCCTGGTATTGCTAAGGATTGCTGGTGAAGCTGAGGAGCAGCAGTCTGTGCACTGGGTTCTTGCTATGCTATGAGATTAATCCCTAAATGCGAATTAGGGGAGGACAGGGCTGCAGTCAAGAAAACCTCTTTTTGTTGTAGCCTGAGAGATGCATTAGTGTCTCATTAAATGCTCAGTGGCACCACAGTTTGGGGCCCACAGCCCTCAGAAAGGGGGTGACATGGCAGAAGCCTCAGACTCCCCCTCAAATCCCTGAGCTACCTGCTGGCTGTGCTGCCTGGAGCGAGAACAGAGCACAGCACAAGGGTTTAGTCTACACCTGAAGGAAAACATGCCCTGGTGTACCCTTAGACACCATGTGGATATGATGAATTCATGCTCAGAATAGCCAGGATGGGGCTAGCTTTTCCACAAAAAAGCTTGGAGCTCCTGGCCAGCATGTCAGAGCCTAGAGCAGGTCATATCCTACTGCCTGTTCTTCAGGCTGAGGGCCTTAAAAAAGACTGGGGATCATTCCATCCCCTCCTCCTTCAGCACCTTGGCTCTGCAGCCTTGGGAATGGGGCTCCTGCCTGCCAATGTCCCAGCCTGGAGGTTCTCCTCAGGCACAGGGTGTGCAGAGTTGTGCTGGTATTGAACACCCGAGTTAAAACACTCCAGAGCAGCACATGTAAGTCAGGGAAAAAAGAGAGAGAGGGGAGGGGAAGAGAGAGGAGGGGAGCAGAAGGGAGGAGAGGAATAAACATTCTGCTCTGTTTTAGTGAGGGAAAGGTAAAATTAGATGAAATTTCATCCTTCCAAAGGCATTCCTCTGGAATTACGAGTCATTCCCTTCTCTTTAACTCAGTATCTTCTGAAAGTGCCCCCCTGGTGACTGCCCTGCCATGGGCGTGCAGGTGCCCAAGCCTGAGGAGGTGTGGGCCAGCTGTGCCTCACCTGGGCAGGTGTGGGGCTGTGCCCTCCCAGCTGTGCCTCACCTGGGCACATGTGGGGCTGTGCCCTCCCAGCTGTGCCTCACCTGGGCAGGTGTGGGGCTGTGCCCTCCCAGCTGTGCCTCACCTGGGCACATGTGGGGCTGTGCACAGCCCTCTCCTGCCCTCTGCTGCCCCGGCCCCGCCTGGAGCGCGGCAGCCCCGCTGGATGTGTGTGTTGTGGGGGAAGGGGGTCACACAGACGGAAATTACTTGTTGAAACAAACGGATAACCCGGTGCTCAAGTAAAAGAAACATTTCTCTTGGTTTATACTAAAAAACCTTTTAAAGACTGTGGTAAAAACACAGAGCATTCAAACCTTGAGATGCTCACCTCACCTCTCACGCTGCTACAGCACAAGCACCGCCATTACTGGGCACTCAGCCCCCATCTCTCTGTCACACAGCTGTTATTTCCTTCATTGGCACAGAGGCACCAAGCCCAATATCTGAGGTTATCACACTTCTCAGAGTGGGATCATTTCTATTTCAAACCCCAGGAATTGTCAGTGAAAAACATCCCTGAGCTCTCTGTGTGTCTCAGCTGTGCAAAACCACAGCAGAGAACAGATTCGACCATGGCAGCCTTGGGAAGGGGCTGTTCCCTCACCTCTGAGATCTGTTTTGACTGAAACTTGTGTTTGTGAAGTCAGCCTCACAGGGTCTCCAAAGAGTATTATGCAATTAGCTTGAAAAAGCTACAGGCTCATTAAACCAGAGCATACTGACCCAGGTGTGAGGAAAGACTCTATAAACCTCAATTTCCTCAATCACATACCACTTCTGCCCAATAAGGGTAATTAAATGGAATCCACACACATTTTATTGGGACACCTCTGGGACTCGGCAGAAAATCTCCCACTTACCATACCCTGTCTGTGAGTTAACAGGAATATAGCTCTGAAAAAGCAGAGGAGGACTAATCAAGGAGGATGGCTTTTCTTTTCCCCTGAGGTTCCACATCTTTTTTTATATTGGGCCACATCCTATCTGGCTCTGGAGTTTAAGGCTGGCAGCTCCCAGGAGTGTTTCAGACTCCAGTGGCTGATGGACACCTCAGCTTGGCACTCAGTGTGATTTACTGGGAATGGGCAAGAGTGAGCTTGGATAGTAAAATCTGAAAGTCGATTTGGAACTGCAAGAACTGAGTCACACACAAGTTTGCCTCCTCATACCCAGAAACCCCATCCTCCTCCAGCTGTTCTCACCAAAGCCACTTCCCTCTCTGCTGCTGCTCTCAGGCTTCCACGGTGAGGGGGAGTCACAGCGAGGAGGAGACCGAAAGCAGCAGCAGGAGCCGTGGCAGCAGATGAGCCCCCAGCCAGGTGGGATGACAAGAAGTGTGAGCTCTACCTCACTGCAAGTTTTTGGGGAAGCTGCTCAGAACAAGAGTCATGAGGGGTTCTTTCATCTGTATGCTTTGCCCAGTCTGCTGCCTTCTTGCACACTATTTCATCGCAGTCGGACCTGCTTCCACTATCAATGCAGAAAGAACACCCAGAAATTCAGCAAAAGGGAGGGGAGAGGTGGGAAGACAAGGAAAGCCACGTTGTTCCAGCTGCCAGCCTTTCCCAACTCAGTTCCAGTATGACCAGTGCTAAGGCAGCAATTCCTCTGCAGGGCATTCTTCCCTTTCCAAAGCACTTCAAAGGAGACTGACTGCCACAGCTCAGCAAAGTGTGAATTCCTGCTCATAACTGCATGTGATATTATGCAAAAAATAAACACCATTTTTCACATATGGGACTATGACAGTCATCCAGCACTGCTTTTATCTGCCCAAAGTCTAAACCAGTCACCCACATACCCTCTCACTTCAGAAGAGGTGGGCAGCCTTCTTGAGCAAGGCCTTACCCTGCCCTGCAGACACTGCAGTTTGCATGGGATAAATGTCTGGAAGTGCAGGCAGGAATGGGATCTGTATCTGCCTCAAGGAACCTCCTCACCAGTGAACGGCTGTGGAGGACTGGCAAGATTTGGCCATTATTATCAGCAGCTACAACATCTAGAAACCAGCAGCAGGTTGAAGCAGACTGCATCCCACAGAGTGCACCTGAGACCCACACCTACATGCTCCTCTCCTGATTTTTTTTTCTTTAATTATTATTTCTCAGGATTTTGCATGTGAACAGTTATATTATTTCACCTCTACTGTTATATCATACCCTTGGTAGACCTTTCATAAGGAAAGGGAACAACTCAACTCCCTTTACAGATCATCAAAGACAACACAGCTGACTGAATGCCCAACCCTGTCAAGGAGGAAAAATTACTGAAGACTAGTGAACTCCTGGGAAGGTTTTAATTTCTAAATAAATCACCCCCCATATGTCTCAGCTTTCACAGCAACGTGCCATGTTTAATTATATCCACTTCTACTCCAATGAAGGTTTGCAAGGTTTAACTTGTTAACTTTTGAACACCAGTCTGAAGATGGAAGATTAATATGCAATAGTGTTCCTGACAGGTGTAATAAGCCCACAATTTGTGGTTAGAAAACACTTTCAGTCCAAGAAAAGAGAATTGCATATTGTGGGTTGATGATGGAAAGCTCTGCAGGGTAAAAGCTAACGGTGCACCCAAAGGGGTCTGATGCAAGGTCCTAAAGAGAAGGAAACATCAACAGTTCCTGCCAGCAACCAAAGCAAAGCAGATTTTGTTAGGTAACTGATATCTGCAGGTGAAGCAGATCTGTTCAGTGACAGAAGATGTGCCACTTCTAAGGCTGCAGGAGCCTTAAAATTCCCTACCACCAACCCTAGTTTATACAAAGAATACAAAGGGCTCTGAGGCTCCTGCTTCCAAAGGGTTATCTCCTCCCAGCTGACGGACCCGTAGCTCAAGAAAACAGATCCCCAATGAATAATGACTTGCCTCTTACGTGAGAGGAATGGAGTCATAACTCAGAGCTGACCATGGTGTGTTTATGCAGAGCCATGCTGAGGTCAGGATTTATTCCATATCATGGCAGAAACAGCTTATTAGTCAACAGCACTTCATTCTTAGACAGCACAAAGTGATAATTCCCATAACTTACCAGCTTTGTTTTTCAGGATCATTAATTAAACCCTGAAACTCCCCAAGATAAATGACAGCAGAAATTCCTTGATGAACATGGAAGAAGACAAATTGACTTTGTGTGTTCTTTATTGCTGACATAACTCCACAATATATTGCAATATCCTGTACCTGGATCTACGTGGAATCGGTCCAGGAGCCTGAAGACCAGCTTGCTGAGTGTTCTGTGGTTAAATTTTTCTGGTTTGTATCTGGACAAGCCTTGATATGGTCTGTAACAACATCAGAAATACATACCTGTGGCATCACCTAAAGGATGTTTTCCAAATAGCAGATATTTAACAGCAGAGGGATTGGGGTTTGCTGGTGTTGGTAGGGACAAGGTACAGCAAAAAGCCAACAGTACAACCACACAAATTTCAGTCAATGACTGAAGCAAGTCTAGAAGTTCATTTTAAAGAAAGTGAGCAATTCCTTCTCATCTCTTTTTCAGAGCTAAGACTGCAAGTATTGCAGCTACACCGTGACTCTGACTGTGCTGCTGGGTCTGTGACTGGCAGGAGTTATTCTAGTGAGAGGCAAGTCAGAAATTAGAACACGCACCACAATTTGACAAGCACATGAAGGTTAACCACTTGCATCTCTTGTTTTTCTGCCACTTCATCACAGTATTATCTTCCTGCCAAACCTGTACAACCGATACTGAAACTCACCCTTGTCTGCAGCAGAGCACAAGAGGCTGATAGCTCCAGCCTCCTTTTGACACTGCTCTGTTACTGGGATGTGCTGCACAGGTTTCATTGCACTCCTGCTCCTGGTAGGAACGGAGCATCTGTCAAGAGCAACAACTCCTCTGTCCTGCAGGTCGGGGCGCTTGAGAAGGCTCTGGCACAGACACCAGAATTTCCCCTTCCTCAGCTCAAAGTCAATCTTTTGCACTGCCTTACGCTGAGACACGATTGCAGACAGACAACCAGGGAACACACTGTGCTCTGGCAGCACCTTGGCCTGGCTGTTCAGAAAGACAACAAGTGTTTCTACCTTGTGATGTCTCTGATGTTGACACCAGGTTCACACCACGAGTCCAGGATCTGCAGGAGCTTGCTCTGGAGCTCAGGATATTCTCCCACATAATCTTCCACCACATTGACTTTATCCTGGAGCAGCAGTGGGATGCACATCTAGGATAAGAAAAGACCTCTGATCCCCACGGAGCCCACGGAAGGCACGGAGAAGGTCCATGACTAAATCCTAGCAGAGGACTGTCCCATTCCCTGCATCCCAGACACAGTGAGCAAGTCCCAACCCCCTGCTTAGCCCACCAGTGCTGCCTATGAGAGTGCTCTGACGTTTTAGCAAATATTAGCAAAGCTTCAGTGCAGCAAAAGCACTGACCTCCACCCTAGTGCTGAACACAGCAAGGATTTGTTGTAACAGAGGTTGCAGCCAGAAACACAGGGCAGGAGGCTGGAATGGGGTCAAACGAAATACATTCTGTGCCTAACCTGGATGTAAAGGTACATCATCAATGCAATAGGTACTTCTGGGGAATGAAGTAAAGCCTCAAGTGAAAGGCAGCATGATGGATGTCCTGCTGAACAAAAGGTGGATCTGATGACAGAGGAGCCTGCAGAGGAAATGACTCACCTTCTCCACATCTTGATCTGGCTGTAATTTCAGCTTAATACTCAGTATGGCTGCCTAGAAAATATAAATAAAAAAAGTTGTGTATTTAGAAGAACCCCACAGTGGATAAATGGGCTATTATACACATTTTTAATGTGTTAATTATTTCCGTTATGTTGTCAAGCACAAATCCTGCAAACATTTGGTCACAGACATTCCACTTCCAAATGTACAAGAACACTCGTGGCAGACCTGCATATCATGATTAGCAACATCTCCTGGAGCAAAAATTAAAGATCACGTTGTCAGGCAAAAAGAGAGAAAGTGAAGCACTTGGATAAAACCAGCTGAGATGGCTACTTCCTATCCATGCACGGTAAAAAACACCTGACCCAGCACACCTTTCTGAGACTCTGAAGTTCTGTAAAATAGTTGGATTTTGTGAAAGCAACTCAAGATTTAGAACACCCTGAAATCAAGAGGTTTCAGTTTTCCCACTTCCTGTGTTGCTCCACACCCCTGACAGCACCAAGGTTCACCAGAGGCAGCAAGATGGGAAGCACTGTATTTCTCCCTTTTGTGGGATTTCCAAATCTTTCATAAGCCAAGACCTACCACATTCACAAATTGCCTCCAAATCAGGATCTTCTGCAGCAAGGAACCTGCTGGGCTGAACTGCAGGAACTCAGGCTCAGGAGAGCTGGTTCAGCCACTGCCCGTCCCATCCCAGCTGGGGATTACAGGAATGGAGGAAGCTCTAACTGTGCATTGCTTGGGAGGCACAGACACCAATTAGGATTTACAGTAGTTAATACTATCTAATTTCTGAAGTGTGTAAGAACACTTCGATCTCAAATACAGAATAAGCATATAGTGGGTTGCTTTAATATAGTGCATTGTGCCAGTAATTGGAGTAATAAGGGCAGGGAGCCTTTGAGCACCTCTGTGTCTTAGTGCTGAACAGGGAACAAGGGAATGAGGAGGTTTTACAGAAGTGTCCTTCTAACTGCTTTGCAAAGTTAGGCTGTATTTTCCAGAACGATTCTAAGCAGTATTGAAAACACTAACCCTGCCATAGCATGTGTGTAATGCTGAGCACTACATGGAACCCACCGAGTTCACAAATGCCTGTTTACTCAAATGTGGATAAAACCAGTGTGGTAGGGCTTGGCGGAAAAGCTCTTCTCTTCCACAGATTTCTCTGCTCTCTGTGATGGATTTTGATTTGAGAGAAGGATTTGCATTTTAGAACTGCGTTATTTGTTAGAATGTAGAATCATAGAATGGTTTAGTTCCAACCCCCCTGCCGTGAGCAGGATGTCCCTGGCGCTCTGGATGGATCAGGGCGCTCAGAGCCTCCATCCAGCCTGACCTGGAATTTTTCCAGGAATGGAATATCCACAGCTTCTCTGGGCAACCTGTGCCAGTGTACCACCACCCTCACTGTAAAAAAATCCCTTATATCTAATCTAAATCTCCCCTCTGTTAGTTCAAAACCATCACCCCTTGTCCTACCCCTGCAGGCCCTGCTAAAATGTTTGTCCCCATCTTTCTTATTGGCCCCCTAATATGTAAGCAAACATAATGCAGGAACAGATGTGCCTTTCCCCAAGGAAACACAACCCCCACCACTACACGTCACATGCATGAAACCTTTCTAGAAAGATTTAACCAAAAAAGTACCCTAAGTGGGGGCAGGCACACACTTTGAAATCCATTTTCTGTGATCTCTCCCAGCATTTGAGTGACACCTGAACTCAGCCCATCACTGGCAGCACGTGTTCTGCAGAGCCAGCCAAGCCCCACAGATACCTCACAGCTCATCTGAGCCTTGCTCACGGCAGGAGCCGTGGATTATGTTACTTTCTGGGGAATTCATGCCTGTGTTTCATCCACTGCACCACAGACTGAGTGTGCAAAAGCAGAAAACCAATGCACATCATGGAAGTTCGGCTGTTAAATCCTTCTGTCCCAATTAGCAGTTGGAAAACATTAGTTTTTTATGTTTGCTTTGGGTTTGGGTTTGGGTTTGGGAGGTCTTAGGGGGGGTTTGGTTTTTTGAACACTGAAAGCCCAGGCTTCATCCTCAAAAGAGAAATCAAGAGAGGAGCTTTAAGTGACAAAAGCAGAAACCACCATTAATACAGAGACTGCTACAAATGGGTACTGGACAGAAAGGTACATGAGCAGCGTTCGGCCCAACTAAACCTCAGCCAAATCTCTTACTCCAGACTATTCCAACTCTTAGAGGCCAATAGCTCCTCTGCTCCACAAGCATCAAGTTCCTTTTCTCTCAAATTATCAGTTTTACATCCCAAAGTTCAAACCGAGTGATTATTCTCCACTGGCAGACAAGTCGAAGGGTGCTACTTCTGGTTTGGACCTGAAGAAGGGGCTTGGGACTCCAAAGCTTTGGCAGCTGGTTTTGTTTTTCCCCCAGCTCCTCAGTTTGCTGAATTAAAAGAAATCATAAAAAAAAAAAGACTTGCAACTCTCCAAACCCTGTTTCACCATTTGATCTCGTGAGTACCTTTATTGCGCCGTTAGCTTTAACGTGCAACATCCAGCGGTTCCCTAATGGCTTTTTAATGTTCAGATTAACCTAATTGCAGCCCTGTTATCTAAATGGCAAAGCTTTATCTCCAGCTCTATTAACTGTACAGATGACTTAATCAGATGAACATGCATGGTGTCAGGTTGGGTTTTCCTCTTTTCCTGGTTGGATATTCCACCCTGTACCAAAGGGTGTAGATGTAGATGTTCATTTGTCCAGAGCATGGAGAGCCCTCACCTTCCCACCCCAGGGCTGGCAGACCCAGCTCCACCACACCAGGGCTGGAGGACAGAGGAACTTCAAGCAGATCACGCATAGATTCATAGAATCCTTAAGGTTAGAAAAGACCTTTAAGTTTACCAAGTCCAACCGTCAACCCAGCACCGCCACCACGTTCACCACTAAACCATGTCCCCGAGTGCCACATCCATATGTCTTTGAACAGTTCCAGGGATGGCGAATCCACCACTGCTCTGGCAGCTGTTCCAAAGCTTTACATAAGCTGGTTTTTAACAGCAATTTAACATCCTCCAGCTCAAGGTGGTGATGGAGCAGCCACACCAGTAGTGCTGCTGGCAGAACCTTCCCTCAGCAGGGAACACCAGCAGCCTTGTCCACACTTGGAACTGAACCTGGAAGAAGCAGCATGACCCGGGCCCCTGGAACAAGCACCAGGCTGGATCGCAGGTTGCAGTTACAGGGGCTGGCGGCCGAGCAGGGAGGACAAGAGAGATAACATCAGCGTGTTTACAATGGGAATAGCAAGAGAAGAGATATGAGTAACTGTAATAAAGATGAAAGCACTTGGCAGCTGTGTCTGTGGTCTCAACTTCGAGCTATTTTAAGATTTTGTTTTGTTATTATCGTGTTTTGAATTGTTTCACTCCACAAACAAGTTTTGTGTAAAACGACCCTATTTTTAACAGTCTGTTTATAGCTGATAAGATCTCCAGCAAAGCAACACCTCATTCGCAGGCTCATTTTGTAGTTAGAAAACAAACACTTCAATGAGGCTGTAACTGAACGGGTGAGAATCCCCCTCCCCACCCAGAACCAGCATTCCCCACCTGCAGTGCTGCACTCCCAGGCTGGGCTGGAAGGTGAGCCAGGGGAGCTGGAAGGTGGCAATCCCATTCATCCAAGTGTAGATCCTCAGGCTGGGTCAGCGGGGCAACACAAATCCTCAGCAGCAGATACCCCTCTCCCCACTTCACCAGCTGACCATTCAGAGCAAAAAATCGAGTTAGGATGCAGGAACGTGGGGAAGCTCTGGGAATGCTGAGATACTGGCAGCTTATCAGGGTCTACTCACATGCTCAAACTCCAAAGAGAACGTGTTATTGTCGGGGTTGGTGGTACAAGGAGCCTTTTCACAAAAATACATTTCATACACAGAGAGTTTCTAGCATGTAATCTAATAACAGCAATAATTAGCATTATTGCTGCACCTAACAATATTCAACCTGTACTAAAACCCCAGGTGATAACAAACGTGAGGAACGCTGATCCCTCTCTTGCCTTGAACCCCCAAGTGTACACAGGAGAGCTACATGATGAAGCCACTGCTTAGTACAGGAGAAAAGCTGATGGCCCATTACCTAATTCAAATCCTGTCAAAGCTCCTGAGTCTTCTCATCCTCAGGGATCTGTGGGTCATTCTTTACTTAATGGTGGTGAAAGCAAAAATCCTATTTGGACATTTTGCAACAGTTTAGTCTCCCAAGGACAGACACCTAAAATATAGCAAAGGGCTGGCTGAGGCCAGGGGAGATCCAAACCTACATTGAATTCTACCTAAACCGTGTGTAGGTGCATTGACCAAAGGATGGGGGAAGTTTCCCAAACTTGACATGTCGAGGCCCAGCCAGGAGCACCAGAACACTCCTCTTGTCACGCGATTGCAACACTGAGAGCATGGGAAAGTGGGGAGTGTTTCGAGGTGAGTGCACGGCCCAGAGCACCCTGCACCAACAGCTGATCCTCTCGCCTTGTTTTGAATGCAATTGGCTCTGTCTCATCTAAAAATGACTATTCTTTCCACGTACAGCATGAGGTGCAGGAAGCCACACAAGATCTTATCTGCAAGGGCATGTGCACTTGGGTGGTGTCTACACTGACAATTTAGGCAATTTTCCCACAGTGGGGTTCACATCAGAAGAATAACCTCTTCAGTAGAACTGCTTGGAGTGGTGATGCACGACAGATACCAGTGGTTTCTGATGACTCCTGTGTTACTTAGCTCTGCTTGCAAGTTGGGACAGCACAAGGGTAAATAAGTCTGTGCCTGACTTAGTGCACTATTTCTGAACCAAAGGCAAATGAATTTCTGAAAACCCATAGAATAAACCAAACAACAAAACCAGACTTTGCAGAGGAGGATCCAACGTCACCTCCAGGAAAATCACAGTGATCAAAGCTTGGATAATGGCAGAAATAACTGAGTAAAAGGCACATCAGGTATTAATCACTGGGCACATCTGGTTTGTGTGTTGGAATCACTCATTTCAAACTTGTGGCTCAT